GCCATTTTGCCCCTCCTCTGCGCTCCGGACTCGTTCTGCAGCCTTTCTACTGCTACTCCTTCGCTCCTCCTTATTGCTCTCTTTCAGTCACACCCTGGATCTTAGGGTAGGTAAGAACTACTACCTAGCCTTCTCAGATAAGGGTGGGAAAATCTCAGAGGTCCCGTGTGCACGTTGCGAACGTTAAAAATCCCATGGTGGTCCTAAAATCTATAAGAGTAAGCTTCGGCGCCACCCGGGCAAAATTCGAAATTAATTCCGACCAAACTCAAAATGCGTAATGTGTAACGCGCCCTCATATGACTATATTATGCAGTTGCGAGCACCGGAAAACACTTATCACAAAAAAACAACCGAAAAAAAGAAAACTCCTCAGTGAAGCAAACAAACATCTCCTTACCTATGATGTAGTCATATGAAGCGTTAGGCTTGGCAACGAAGTACCGACTTGGATCGTCCTTGCAGTTACAAATCCATTGAAAGACAACCGCCACCAGGACGGCAAAAAAAGCCACCTTCCACACATTAGATGACATTTTAGGACAGACAAGAAGACCTGCAACAGCAACTTGCCAGAAGCAAAGACGTGTAGGAATCAGGAATCAAATTTTGAAATGTAGACCCTATTTTGTGTTTTGTTTTGTGTTCGTATGTTTGTTTTTTGTTGTTTGTTTGTTTTGTTTTTGTGGGGTCTTTTGCGCAGATTCTACACACGTCTTCCTTCCTCGAAGAAATAAAATTACGTCAAATTAAGTCTTGGTTTCTCTTGTACAGAAAATAACACAGCACAGTTCTTCTTTCTTTCTTCCCTTCCTCCTTCCCTTCCTCCAACAGACAGAGCATGGCAACACACCCGCTCTTTATTTGTCAGAGAGCATTTGAAACTGCACACCGTAACGGAAGGATCTGTTGTGTCACGACGTGGTGGAATCAGCCGCTTGTCAATTTTGGGGCATGTGAATAGAAGTCAGGAGGATAAGCCTATCCGCAATTGAATGAGGTGGAGGTCGCCTCGTGTCAGAAGTAAAATTAGCGAGAAGATCCATTGTCGTCAGAACTTGGTGAATTCCAAAGTTTTGTGCATTTGAAAAATGCAAATATACATTTGCATGCCTTTGATCATAACTTTTTAATAAGTAAAATCAACACCAAAATTATTTTTAAGGACGTAAAATGTGTTAAGCCAACAAAAATTAATTAATTAAAATTTCCCAACGGATGGAAATAGTCGGTTTCTTCGATTTCATTATTTTGACGATCGCCTGATTTTTCCACGACGCCTCACATTCATTTGTTTTAAGTTAGAATGCCATAAAAACCTGCTGTGCATGCAATGTTCAAGCTAACAATCCTTGTACGTTATCATCCATGTCAGCTGAGAGGGGCAATTTTGTATGTCAAATGTTTCTTGTTGAAGAGGTGGGTTTGTTTACAAGGGCGTACTTTGGACTGATTGTCTGGCGTTACCGCCTTTTGCCGCCTCTTTGCACCAATGCACCAAGTTGTGTGTGTGCGGGGG